AATAGGGTGGAAAATGGAGAAATCAACAGGTGTCTTTACATTCCATTCCCGCCGGTATTGGCGAAGTATGGGCATGTCTATGCGTAGGCCGCTTCACTGAGAGTAAACGAGCAAATTATACTTCCCATCATATACTGACGTCACATCTTATTATGGCAAGTGCTGGCAAAAATATTTTGGTTTCATTCCCTCACTCCATTTCTCTTTGGCAAATCTAAAAAAAAAATCTCCTCTCTCCCAATTTTCATATTTGTCCCTATATTTGGACCTTTCCTCACCAATACAGTACTTTTCAATACGGCGTACACAAAGAAACGGAAATTTTCCCATTATTTCCCTGACGCAACAATTTATTGCCAAAATCAGCCATTTCCAAGGTATCTCTGGATTGCGTCACTCAAAATCTTCCCCAAAAGAAAACTCCATGGCGGCTCGGTCAAAGATCGTAGGCGAGTTCTTCAGTCTTTTCATACTCTTCAAACGGACGAAATGACGTTGTAAATAAAAGTGTGACAAGGCGAGCAATTGAACACAAAATTAAAATAGATCCTCTTCGTCATGAAATATAATTTTCCGAGCACAAACTCGATTTTTTGGGCACGGCTAAGAGCATAATTAATTAGTGAGTAGTCGAAAATGAGTTTCTAATAGCCTGGAATGCAGCAATTCACGGTACGCGTGCATTTAATTTACATGGAAATTAAAAAGAAAGAGATTGTTTTTGCTCTTCGCACAAAAAATTTCTTCATCATCACACGTTTACATAATAGTAATGAAAAATTGTCTTTGATGTGGTAAATCAATATATTACAAATTGAGGCAACATTGAATATTGATTTTTCTATTTATTCTATATATGATTTCTGATAATATCTCACAGGTATAAAATTCAGTTTTATTTCGGTATGATAATGATAGCCCAGCTGTATTTCGTCCACGGTCTCTTTTATTTCTACATTTTATAATACTGGACTATAAGGAAAAAAATCTACGCAAAGCGAGGAGGAGACGATCAATGCAAATAAAGTTGAAAGAGTTTTATAACTTTTTTCCCACATGTCCACAAAAATTAACATACAAATATAACACACACCATTCCACTTTCGATTCCACAATGTGGGGCTTTTGGAAATTGACCAGCCGCACGACCTTCGAATTCAAAATTTACTCACAAGAAACTGTGTCCATGTGTATTTTTTCTGATTTTTCATTGTGTGTTTAATTATTGAACTCTTCTTGTGTATTATTGGCCCCAGAAAAGTGAGCAAAAAACACACCAAGCACTTCATTTGGCTAATAAAATACACATAGTATATAATATTTATGCACATACAGTTACGAAAAGATAAGTAGAACCTGTAATCATAGGGAAATTTGTTTCTCTTGGTAGACGATTTTCAGATTTTTCATTGTTTAAATGAATTACAGTGACAGAAAAAAGCAAAATATTGTGTGTGATAGTTAAACAAAAATGCAAAGATAAGTGTTGCTATTCGAAATGGTTTTACTGTACACATATACAATACATGTAAAACATACCGCACTAAATACTGCTAAAAAAGTGGCGAAAGCCAATCATATGACGGTGTGGGAAACATCGAAAAAGCACAAAATAAAACTGAGATATTCAAGGATAACAATTCCACTTAATCACAGATTCACATGACGGTGCATTCTTCCATAAATAATGGCGATTCTTTCATCATTTTCTAAGTAATATGTAGAATGTCTCGTTACAGTTATGGAGATGTTGTCTGCAACTCTAAATATCCAAACTAATGAATACTAGAGAGACCATTGTAAGTTATACGATCATAATCGAAGCATAATGAAGAGTCAATACAATGCGAATACTCAAGAAGAGAAAACACATTCTATGTGAAAATGTAGCGAATAAAGAGCTTTCAGAGGTTGAGCATTTTTGCAAGTTATACAGTCAATGAGTGAAATATTGGAGAACCTTGATAATCGTTAATTTACAAAGGGACCTTTACGACCGCTAATATTGGAATTTCTTCTCAACATTTCATTGATGTGTTAAAAACGCATTCACAACTTCTTGCCTTGGGAGTCTCTCTAGGAGATGGCAATATGCTGGTATAATATAGGCAAAAACTACGAACTCAAACATGTTTTCTTCGTGCCATCAAATGGTAATCAATAAAAATTTTTGCTTGATCAACTTTAGTAAGTCACTATATTTTATTGGACATCAAACGACGATCACCTCCAAGAAACCATCACAATGTTGGTTCTTTTTTCGCTGTAACACGTCAAAGACCACTTTCCATTTCTACTTCTAAACATGCTACCTGAACACAGACAAGTATTCAAGTATTTGCTGTTTTATTCTTAATAGTATGAATAAATATTGTCTTCAGTTTTAGATAACTCAACAACATATTAAATATAACACTGAAAATTAGTTTCTCTACCCCAAAATAGATACATATAATATTGATATGCAATTTGTATGTAGAAGAGGCATGTTGTGTTTTCATAACGAGTAAATATATCTCGTCACAGTTTGGATGTGAATTTCAGCCAGAACGAGCTTTCAACTCCTTTTTATATTAAATTAATAACCCCACATAGAACAGAAACATAATTTCATACTCACAGTGCTGTGTATTTATATGTAATGCTATGTAGATAGAACTGACAAACAGACGGGCGAAAATGATCAAAAATAAAATGGTGAATGAATTTATTTATAGGCATCAGGTAATTTGCAAATTGCACGCCAAAGACCGAACACAGGGTGAAAAAAGGGACAAGAGAAGCAGAAGAAAGCATGAAGAAGGTGAAGAAAATAAAAATAAATTTTTAAAAAAAAGGTGAAGTAGATATGACGTAAGCAGATGGTTTGGATAGATGGTTCCATCAAACCCCAATTTAAATGATCTTTTAGTAGCATGGCAAGCGTATACATTTTTCGCAGGATTATATTGGCAAAAGCCGGGAAAAATTTCCGCTCATATGTGAAATAAAACAAGAACATATTGCATAGATATTTTATCATATGTGAATGCTCATTAAAATACATGTGCACATCACTACAAAAATTCTGAAGACACTATTGCAAAATATATATTATATACCATTTTATTATGAAGATTGACCTCCTTTTGGGATGTGAAACACATAGAGAGATGGTATTGATTTCTTCAGCGAGCAAAAATCTTGTTTAGCATATTAATTTATCGCAAGGAATTAGTCAATCTATTACTATAAATTATTACTGCATGTAAGACTTTATACAGATGTTTGGAGGAAAGGAGATATTTTTTTCCATACTGCATTGTAATGATTTTCGTCAATTTCATGAGCACCTTTCTGACTATTCATAATGTGGGGAATTCCGTAATGGATAGTAAGTGAATTTTATGCAATCGCGATGTGAGATTTTTTGTTTGACACTCAAGTACCTTTCAGTGAATTGTCAATTGATGTATAGGAAATTATGTGTAATTTTGAAGTAATGTGATTATGATAATTTCTCCACAAAGCCTCTCTCATCAAAGCGTATATTGATTTGGCACACTCACGTTACATGCCATCGCAGAATGCCCAATAATGCACGAGAGCGAAAGAAAATATCTTTGTTGTACTTAATTATATTAATTCATCCTCACTTGGGCCGTCGTCAGTCTGTTTTTCCCGCATAAAGACGCACACGCAAAAATCAGTTGAAAGCCCCGACTAAATTTGTACGGTCGGAAATAGTCCAAGACGCCCGATGGGGTTGAGGCTCGAAAGCCCACCTTTCGATACAATTGTGTATGGTTGCTTACGTCATCTACTTCAGTGGAATCGATTTGCGTCTAAAAAAAGCATGTGCGGTTGTCCCCATCGAGAATATGAATACTATATTCCTCGTGACGTCATTTGACCGCATGGAATAGCGCACATTTATCGCCGAAATGCTCTCTCTTCGCGCATCCTCTTCGCACCCCCCGGGCTGTCATGTTACAATTTCATTCATAACATTTCAGACACGATGGCTTCTCAGCCCCCACCCACGCCAATTTACATCATTTCCATTACAGAGCGCCAGAGCTCACACCCTCGTGCGATCTCTTTTCCTCATTATTCAATACTCCACACTTTTCCCCCAATTCAACGCACACAGGGAAAGTGTTTTCACGTTATACATGAGGGAAAACAGGCGCAGCAGCTCTCACCATTTTCAACCCAGAGCTTTCAATGACGTCATTGTTCAGGGTCGATTTATATTCACAAGGTCACAGACTCTCCTATGTGTTCCGTACTCCTTGCGCCGTGTATTCGGGGGCGCTTCAGAAATTGCCCCAAACAGCTGATTTACCCAGATTTCCACCGAGAATTCATCTTCCCACTGCACTGGCCAGGGAAATGGTCGAATTGCCGTGCGGACTGGCAAATTGCACTTCATGTTTAGTAAGTGTTTCAATAAATTTAAACTATTGCAATAATAAATGCTGTACGCAATAAATGAATGTGAAACTGACATGATAAACGCGAAAAGGGAGACACATTTTCTGCCCATCAACCAGTTTAAATTCAAATATATTAAATCCTATGAATATGTACATTAATTGTCTCTCTAATTTCACTCATTTATAAATGTTCTATTTGTGAGCGTTTTTCGTATTGGTTAGAAATATTAATGTGGACAGCATGGCAAATGGTATTAATAGCATGACTCTTTACGTGATTTAAAATTAAAACGATTTTGGCAAATTATTAAAACGTTCTGTGGAGTATTTTCGTTTGAGATGTGATTCGTTGCATTTATTAAAACGAATTATCATTTTCTAATGTGCACTCAATGAAAATACCTCACAAACTGTGTTGACGAGAATGCCTGGGTGGCACATTTCATCATACACCATGGTAATTATTATTTCTGTTAGTGACCCTTTTACTATGCCATAAGGTATATTTAAAATACATATACTATAATTCTCGCATAGTGTTAGTCAAATTGAAGACGGAAAGATGAATTATATTCTACATACACTTCTTATCTTCGTCTCTTTCCTTCTCTTCTTCCAACTCTTCCTCTTCTTCTGCCGCAAAGTTGCTCCGCTGATTGATGCAGTGATGAATATTGCCGAAAACTTCTCCTTCACTACTATTATTGTTTAAATCATCAAATTGGTGCAACACTGAAAAATTACTGTAGCCATTGATCTCAGTGATATTGTTGTTACTGTCTTCATTTTCACTATTCGAGTGCGTCAAGATAAATTGGCTGAAATTGGCGACGGATGGCGGCAGCAAGAAATCCTCGTCCTGCGGTTCCTGCTTCACAACTATCAATGATGCTAAACGCGTTCGCATGTCCGAGGAAGTTTTTTGCTCATTTACACGCGTTCTGTCTATCTCACCTCATCGAGTGTTCCTTTGCTTTTTTCATACATACTTGGCGAAAAGGAGTCAATTTAAACGAGAGATTTCAAATGAATTTTCACAGAATAATGAACTCTCAGCGCACAGAGCTCTTCTTTGTGAGCCGAACAAACAGACTGAGCAATCAACGAGATTGTGTCTTTTCCGTCTCTTCTTCACTTAGATTGGCAGTAGGTGAAATGGTGACTAATAATAATACAACACTTAAGAATGCATTATAACGATAAATACGACAAGCACATTAATTATGTGATTTAGGAGAATTGTAACTGTATAATATGATGCGTGATGTGAAATGGACAAACGATTAACGAATTTAGGCATCACACCTGATGGCGAGGGTCCAGCTGCCTCCTGGTGCTTATCTCTTTTGTCCTCCAGCACGAATTACACTCGCGATACCACCAACAGTTCACTTTGTGTCGAAAACAGTAATCCTCTGCGAGCACTTTTGTGGGTGCAGGAGGCGCGAAACTATTTACACACCGCGCGACGGTGGGATTTACAAAAAAAAAGACTATCACGAATGGCCAAAGACAATGGTAATAGCCCTCCTCGTGCTCTTTCTCTCTTAAAATCCAACTTCACGGAACTCCTGTGACACACACAAATCGGATAATTAATTATACGTGAGTCTCTTGCGGTGATTTGTGACTTTCTTGGCACTGAGAGCCCTCACTGACCAACAGTTGATGCTTCGACGTCGGAATGGGCGCGTTTGGCTCGGAGGAGATTTTCCAAAAAATTGTGCCACCACTTCACACGACAACTCACTTTAATCCTTCTGTCACGGATGATTTATCTCGGGTTTTTTCCTCAGTCCAATATATTGCCACTATTGTCCTTGTTGGGGTGGTCAGTTCACTTTCACTTTTTTCCGTGGTGCGCGCCTCTTGGGCAGCAGAATCTCGCGGCACGATTTGAAGTGGTGTCCAGAAAAAGTCTCACTGTTCGCTTGTCCAAAGATGTTCACTTCACTCAGTATTCGGTGATACAACTTCCTCGAGATTTGCAAATATTTCCATAAATTTTCTATCAAACTCTTTTCCTCAACAGCCACTGTTCGGTTTCACACAGATTGTCCGAAGGTGTTTCAGGATAGTATTACCAATTTGTCCAAAAAACTCAGCGACATTGAGATTCCACCCACTGGGAAGTTGTGTGCAGAAGAAATTGCAGAAGATATGTAAAATTGGTTTGAGTCACTTGTGCACCGTTCAGTTTTGTGGCTTGAGTGTGAGGCTGTGAGGCATGCACTCCTCGAAAATCACCAATTGTTGACGATACAGCGTCCGAGACGCGACTGAGGTTGCCGTATCAAGTACATGGGACTATATTGTTCCTCTCTGCGCCAGCGGTGCTCTTCTACCAGCGCTTCTCAGCGCTCCGCGTGCTCCAAGCCGCCGCCGCTCCGCGCCCCACCGCCCGCCCATCTCGTCACCCGCTCAATCGAGGGCGTCGCGACTCCCCCCATGTGACGTCATTGCTCTCCGGAGTGTTGTTCACCTATGTGCTGCGAGCGAGCACGGTGGTCAACCCACACAGATGCCGCCGCTCACGTTGTGTACCTGTGCGCCCGGAGAGACGGCTGCGGCCGCGGCGCCGCGCGGCGATGTGTTGGTGGAGCCTCTCTGAGAGTGCGCTCTCACTCTCTCGGCGACTGCTTCATTCTGCCTTCCGCACGAAATGCTAGCTAACGTCGCTTGGAGTATAGCGGTATTGTGAGTAAAATTGTCGAGTACCACGGTGATGCGGATACACATAGTGTCGTGTATAGGCGAGTACATGGAAATTCACGCAGCCGCTGACGGAAGATTACTGAATTTTCTCACTGCAAAATGGTAGAGAAGCGACGTCACAATATTTCTATATCAACAGTAACCCCTAGTCACACCGGAAGAGAGACTAGAGAGACAAAAAAAGCCGCACTGCAACGTAGGACGAGGACACATTTTCATACATGTGATATTGGGAAAGGTATCGCGCAAAATATCCAATATAGAGCAACAAATGGTGTGAGACAAGGAAGCTGAAGGCGTATTGTGCAAGATGGAAATTGACGTATTTTTGACCACACCATTCAAGCGCGTTTCCACCCTTTATCAATCAAATTGTTTCCTAATACCGCGACGTACGTCACGCGTCACATTACAATGCCTCAACACACTATATAATTTCACCAGATAGAGCATTAGTGATACAATATCAGGCTCAGGACAAATTCGTGAGCCTTTGAGACAAATAATGCCCATCAATTCAATAGATATCACATCTCTGAGGCTATTTATCACATTCGCAGTTAGAATTTGCAATACTAAATCAGCAAGACTTCTGATTTCCGTCATAACATTGGGAGAGAAAAAAAAGACACTCAGCATTGGCAAATACCTGCATGTTTGGAATGATGGCAAAAAAGAGAAACAAATCCTGACACAAAATACCTGATGGTAAGAAATCATGAATCTCAGCGGGATTTGCAGATATCAAAGAACATCGGGCAAATCGTAAGAAATTGCATGGGGTGAAGCATATTCAAATTCGCATAAGAGATTAGGACATGGAATCAATAGACGAGATCATTGTGCGATTAAGGGGTCCCGACCACTTCCTCGGCTCTTCTGCTGAATTGTCAGCGTGGCAAATTTTATTCTAAATATTCGCCACACATTGAATAGACATTAAGCAAATTTAATACCATGCTGAATATATTTGTACCTTCATTGTATAGGCACTTGTGAGAAAAGGCATACAGCATCGACGACTTTCGCCTTCGGTATTTATGTCATTTTCTTACTCATCTTGTCTCCTTCTTCTTTCATTCTCACAACATTTGCTACACACATATGTATACATTCGTGTGCACTCACAATGCTATGGAGACATCAGATTCTATAGATTTACTCCATTTATATTAAACAATATAGTTCGTTAGCCATCAAATGAGAAGGAAACTGTGGACCTCAATGCGTGCACCTAATTTTATGAATTCAATTAAACCACCAGAGTTGTAAAGTGTATTTTAAGCTTACAGTAATTGCTCGTGAAAAAATCCGTATTTATTGCATAATGGAATATTAACATTTTCGATCCTTTACTATTTCTAATTTTACAAAATTGCACAAAGTCACAGAAATGTCCTGAACTTGTTGAGATTATTTTGGTCAACTAATGAATTCATACTTTTTTTTACTTCTAAACTTTGCAACACATGCAACAATATTTATTGATGTTTTTATCGTAAATGGCCGGGTATGTAGCGTACAAAAGTGTAGCATGCAGTGCAATTAGCATAAATGTAAATAGAAATTCAGAAAGGTCTGGGTCAGTTATGTTCATGCCGGAATGGACTCGAGTGAGACGACTGGAGGAGCACTTTATTACGACATTATTCTTGAATAATGCCGTAATTAGTGACTGTTCGGGCCTTATGACGATTTCATTTCTGTCCTGGTATGAAATGTCGGCAAAATGTGTGTTGAAAGTACATTGAATTCTTCAAGACACTCTGATTGTGATTCGGTATAAGTGCTATGTGTATTATTATTCATGTTTGATTGCACGTGAATTTCCTTAAATTTTTCTGATTTGATTTATTCACCAAATTGTGTGATTAATTGAACAACAATATAGCTAAGTTGTATTCCTAGTTCTCTCTTCACATCAAAACCATCCATTGACCAGAGATGACCAACCTTTCAAATTGAAAGTGTAGTAAGAATTCCCGCGACCAACAGCATTTATGCGGATTGCCTTATGATACACATAAGCATAAATATATGTACATGACGAAAATCCGAAGCAGTAAACGAAATGTTTTCACATCTATACACTTATATATATGCTTCAGTTCAGCCCGAGTTCGTAAGATTGACCATGCATGCTTCGTACAGAAGTGTGTAAGTGATGTATTGTGTGTTATTTGACGGTTATATGAATATTATAAATCAAAAATTTTATAAATTACACCACACATCGGATGACACACAAGTCAGTGAAAGGTGGCCCGAGAATACTGAGCCTATTCATACATGAATACAGATATTTTCAGTTAATGCACAAGTTTGAAAGCAAAAATTTGCTCGTGTGGAATATGGAGGACAGCGATGATGTTTGATAATATTACACAAAGAAGCATTACCACTGAAATGGCCAAAGGTGCCATTTTAGCACCTTTATAACTTCAAGCATCACACTTAATGCTATAGTGTCTCATCAAATTGTTTTCGGCCGTTTTAGTGTTAAGAGGTAAGACAGTAGTCGGCGGATGTGTATGTTTCTGGGTGTGGATTGGATCAAAGTTTAATGAATATACTTAGTGATTGATTTCACGAAAAATTCAGAGAAATTTTATTATCATCAAGTACAGCGCGTTTTCACTGCGTCTCCTCAAATCACTCGCATAAATATAATTTTCACGGCTTCGAGCCGACGTCAAGATTGGAATGTGAAAAAGCCTTCTTCAATGCACTAACATCTCAAATTTCGTCAGTACGACCGAAACACATGAGATCGCAACATCAGTATCATGAAATGGTTAATATCTTCATATGGTGAACACATGAGATGAATATCCAACCCCATTTATCACTCGCTCAAATAACTTAATTCGTACTTGCAAACACAATTCAGTGTTCCAAAGTTGTTAGTATATACAAATAATTTTGTGGAAAATTACACGCTCTGACATTAGGCGAGAGCATAATGTTGTGAATACTTTTTGATGATTTATATCTCACGATTTGCATTCCGCCCCACACAAAATCGCGTCAGAAACAATATCTCTCTTAGATATAATCAAAGGAGAAGCGAAAACAGAGTATTTGATGTATTAACTGGACATGGATAGTGTATATCGACAATTCCTCAGATATTCTATTGCGAAAGCTCTGATTACGCCTCCAAATCAGAGAAAATTCGAATACCATGAATTTAAAGCATGTTTTTGGGTGAAATTAATCTCCAAGA